TTGTAATCTCTAAATGTTTTCATAATTCCACAAAGTACTATTTCCATGGCATTGTTAACAAGTAAGCAGGGATATATAAAAAATAAAAACCTTTCAGTTTTTGTAAGTGACAAAGCAGGATACAGAGCTACATACAGCGATCACGTCAGTGCTTCTTGAACTTCACTGTGAATCCCCGCAGGATCTCGCTGCTGCAGATTCTGGTTCCGTGGATCTGGGGTGGGGCCTGACACTGCTTTTCTAAGACCTTTCTTGAAGATGCCTATGCTGCTGGTCTGCAGACCACACCTTGAGTAGCATCAGCATACATTAGTTTTATATAAAGACAATACTCAGACTTCATACATAGTTTATGCTCAGAAAAGTGTATGTATTCATACTTAAAAATAGAATGACAAGTCCTATGGGCAATATGGTAATATAATTTTAAATGCATTAAAATTATGGCTACACTTTGGCCAACCAAAAAAAAAAAATAGAATGAAATAAAAAAACCCAGACTGGAAACATACCAAATATGAAAAGTGATGTGGGGTCATGGGTAGGTTTTTTTGTTTTCTGTTATTCAATTTTCTTTTTCTGTAGCAAAATAATATTTACTCAAATTTTTCTGCACAGAATATAACTTTTATTTACTTTTTTAAAAATATTTTATTTATTTATTTTTACAGAGAGGGGGAGGGAGAAAGAGAGGGCGAGAAACATCAATGTGTAGTTGCCTCTCATGTACCCCCTACTGGGGTCCTGGCCCTCAACCCAGGCATGTGCCCTGACTGGGAATCGAACCTGCGACCCTTTGGTTCATAGGCCAGCGCTCAATCCACTGAGCCACACCAATCAGAGCACAACTTTTTATTTTAATAGAAAGCTTGTTCTCTCTTTCTAAGCAAAAGGACACAAAGTGCTGGTGAGAAACAACAATAAGGGCGGCAAGTCATATGTAATAAATCTCAAAAGTGATGGAGGTTGTGGACAAAAGTTTTAAAAGAGGTTGACTTGCCTGATCCATGATGGTTATGTGACTGGTAATTGTCTTATGGACTCTTGAGTGGCCAGGTGGCTTCTGGAAGTCCTTGCTGTGATTCATCCACCTAAGACAATGTTAGATGATCACATTTTTTTGGTGAGATGGAGATGAGAGCAAAGAGCCAAGGCCCAGCCATTCTCAGAGATATCTTAGTATTGAGGATGCCCACGGTTCCCTTTGGATTCATTCCCAGGACACTGTGAATGGGAGAAGATTCCTCAGGCTCCTCACAGGACAGAATTCTGCTTGGATCAGGAAAATCTGTGAAGCAAATTCAATAGTACTTCAACTTACTTTTCATATCAGGGAGACATCTGTCTAAAGAAAATATGTAAGAACATTGCAGGCATGTAACAGGGAGGTTGGTAAGTGCTTTAAAAAGAATTTGTACTTGAAGGAGTTAAAAATAACCTCAACATATTTGGATTAAAGTATTGGGGTGGGGGTTTGCTGCTGGGAGTGCTTTTTTTTTTATTTACTTGCCAGAAGTAAAGAAGGTGGGATTCACATCCAAAACTGTCTCCCTGGAAGGGAGGCTTAGCCATTCCTTAGATACACTGTTTGGTTAATTTTATTTTGGATTTTTCTTTGCAGCTAGTTACACTTATCAGGTGGGTTCCAGTCAAGACAGCTCTTTCAGAAAAATACTCTGCTACATATTAACATGAAGCAAGAATAACATTTAGTAAGAATGGCCCAGACCTTGAGACACTTGTCCTATCTAACAAATGGAGTTAAGCTGACTTGAATAAATATACTTTGAAAGGAGATAAAATGAAAACCAATTGTGCCCATTCTTTTTTTCTCTTACAACAAACAGAGAATCAGATTTAAAATCCCATAGGGAAAACAAACTAACCTGACAGGTTCTAAAAAGAAAGTATTCAAAGCTCCCACCAACCAACAGGGACCAGCAGTGTGTGAAACCCCTTCAGAGACAAGCAGGGTGCACGGTAGCTTTCAAACCTCTGGGTCAATCTTTATTACAAGGCATGGAGGTCATTTCTAAGGAATTTAAGAAATGTATTTACTCATACATAAAGTGTTGGGAAAAGGTTGGAAAGAGGTTTTAGTCACTCTTTTCTCCTTTAGCAATGGAGAAAAGAGTGCACAAAAATCACTGGCTTGAGTTCCATAGGACTTCTGGGGCTGTATGCCTTCAACTATTTTTTTTTTAATTAAATAAATGACTAAAGCCTGGTGAGGATGAAAGTGAACTAAAAATAGTAACACTAACAATGATAATAATAGCTAATTTTGAGCATTCACTATGCCAAACCTTGTTTGAGTATTTTTTGTTTAACTTAATCCAAGGAAAAAAAATAATCCTATGAGGTTGATAGTATTTATTATTAAACAAATAAGGACACAGAAGTGCTTAGAGATCAAACACTTGTCCAAAGTCACAGCTAATAAGAAGAGGTGGAACAGTTTTGAACCCAAGAAGCTGAACTCTATAGTTTGCCTCCATAGAGAAGGCAACCAAATGATGCTACTGTTTTTGATCCATGTTGAAGAGGCTTTTCTTGTTGACTATAGCCAATGCTCTATCACTTGGCGCACATGACTCACAACCAAATTTATTAAGTCAGGTGTGAAATAGGCCAGGAAGTTTAACCTCATAGAGCAGTTAGGCAGGGTTGTTAGGGAAAAGAAAGATTTACATTATGGTGCCTTTATTACCTTTTCTACCCACCAAGCAGTTTTGAACAAAGATCAGCTCAAGTGTCAGTCTCACAGGCCTGAGAACTGATAGTGGTGACTCCTCAGCCAAAAAGCCTTGCAGGACCCAGGGACATCAAGGTGGTTGTGGTCGGAAAACTCAAGATGCCCTTGGTCATCTTTTGACTCCCTAGAAGTCCCTCCAAAGGCTATTCCTATTCTTTACGTGAGAGATGATCATACTGTTGTCTTAGTGCAGTTGGTTTTATCTGGAGTTACTGAAATACATATTTGTTTATTCTTTTAGCACCTCGATATAAGGATCGGGACATGCTAGTTTACATTTTGATCCACATTGAAGAGGCTCTTCTTGTTGACTATTAATCAATGCTCTATCATGTGGCACATATGACTCACAATCATATCATGTCTACAACTTCAGTAGAGAGCAGTATGGATGTCCAGTCTCTTGTCTGATTTTTGCCCTGCATACGCTGACCACTGGCCTGGGACTCTGCTACATGCCAAAGAGTGAAGGCCCTTTTTGTATTGGGGTTTCACTCGGATAATTGTGTTGTCTTCAAATAGATTGCAACTGCATTTTAGAATAGAGACTGTATCTAATCTATTTTGCACCCCTGATTAGGTATACCGGTAGTTTGAATTTTATGATTGATCACCAAAGGTTCAGCAAACTATGGCCCACAGATCAGATCAGACCTATAATCCATTTCTTGTGCCCTGTGTGCTAAGAATGTTTTTTTGTATTTTTAAATAGCTGAAAAGAAATGGTAAGAGTGATAGTATTTCATGACATTGGGAAATTATATGAAATTCAAATTTTAGTGTCCATAAATAGTTTTATTGTAACACAGCCACCTGTTTTATGTTAAGCAGATGCAGAACTAGCTCTGTGACCTACACAAGCCACATAACCCCTAGGCCAAGCTTGGCTCATCTATAAAATAAGCACCTACTTTACCTATCTTGCCTGCCAGGAGGCAAGAAGTGGATCAGAGTGTATTTGAGGGCATTTCAATTTCTAAACTGAAAACAGGAGGCGAAGAGTGGGAAGTGGGCTAGGGGACACTGTTGAACAGTTTACTCCTTATAAGCCAAAGTCCCCCTTGTCTTGATATTTCTTGCAGTAACCAAATACTACCCCTTGACTAGATGGACTAGTCAAGCAGTCCATCTCCAGAAGGAGCATTTGGCGCCTCAGATTTCCAAACCCGGCATGCTACTAAAGGGTTAATGAAGATGGTATTTAATAAATAGAGGAATAAGTTAAAAAAAAAAAGTTCCTTCCAAAATGCCAGAAGGAATGTTTTTCAACAGCAGCAAAAGAGATGCATTTTCAACAGGTCTTGACTACATATCTGATTAATAAAACTATGAACAAGAATAAGATAGTCATTTCATGGCAAACTATACATTCCTACCTGTAGATCAGATTTATTTTCAGTATTTTAACACTAAAATATTTAAAATGTTCAAATTAACAGCATTTTTACTGGACTAATGTAGACACTTGGGGTAAAGCCCTTTTAAATGGTATTTCACTGTTGGAGCTCAGCCCTTTGTTGTCCCCACTTCTTTTCCTAGCTCCTCTTTTTCTTCCTAACACTTAAATGGGGAGCGGGGCACATGTGCACAACTGAAGTCAGAGAAATGTTTATTGCTGCTGTTTTAATTTTCCCATTTACTTTTACTTTACTTTTCCACTTTTATAGAACAAGGCTCTCTCCCCATCTACCCCCATTCCCTTTGCAGAAAGCAGGCCTCAAACTTCATTTTTTCTTTTAAATCTTAAAGAGAAAGTGAGGTGACAGAAAAGAGGTCAAGTGAGAGGTATTGCAAAAGGAAAATTAACAACAGATTTTCTTATTTCAAAATTCCCACTTTGTTAATTTCAAAATACCTTTTCTTCCCTTCTTCTGCATGAGGTAGGTCTCCAGGCCCTCACAGTATTTAAGTCACAAACGAGGTAATATGTTGTTTACAGTTCTCTCTTCGACCAATTATTGGATGCCATCAGCTGCCTCCCCACGCACCACGCCAGTCTCCTAAAGTCCTTGCTGCTTGTTGCAGGCTGAGGTTCCAAGAAGAGCATTTTCTTTTCTTGAGGATTACCTTTTATCCACCAGCTCAGAACAGTCTTGGGGCTCCTCCTTCCTGTCTAATCTCCTCGGGGAATCAGGTCCCTGTGGCCCTGAAAAGATCGTCTCTGCCGCGTGGACTCGGGGTGCCTCTCTCTCTGTGCCAAGAGAGCGCGGGGTTCCCCCAGGGGTCCCTGCGTCCCACAGCCTGCTCACTCCTTGGTGGTGCGAAAAGTGACCATGGTCACGGAGCGCTCCTCCGTCCGTGAGGTCATGCAGCCCTTCGTCCACGCGGTCCACAGGACTTCTTCTGTCACCTGATAATCCACGACGCGCACGAGCACGGATTTCGGTGGGGCTGCGGTGTCCCGCGGAGGGGCTCCGGAGGGAGGGTCTAAGTGGCTTCCAGGAACCCGCTTTTCTCGTGGGAAGTGAGGAGCAGGGCTCTCCCGGTCCTCCCCACCAGCCGCCTCTTCCCGCGCAGGGTCCCCGTGAGTCCCCAGCCCTCTCTCTGGGTGAAGAAGAAAGAGCACTTTCTCTCTGACCCAAGACAAGGAGTCCAGATTCTCCCCGGCCCCCTGGTCCTCGTGGCCGCCGCCCGGGCTTCCGCGCGCCCCCGACGCCAGGTTCGCGGCGCCCGCGTTCAGGGGGTCGCCGCGGCCCACCTCGCGCGGAAAGGATCCCGCTCGTCCCAGGCTTCGGGGGCAGTCCGCGAAGGGCGTAGCTCCACGGAGACCCGCGGCCCCCATGCTGGTAGGGGCGCCATTCATTCGGAGGTTTCCCCGCTGGTTCACGCTGCAAACTGCGGTTGGGCTCCGTAAAGCGCGGGACGGGCAGCCCCGGGTGCGGTCGTGCGGCCCCTGGCGGCGCCCCGCCCGCCGGAGCGGGGGCTGCGACCGGCCCTCCGCCAACGTGGGGCAGGACCCCGCCCCCTGCCCTGCCCTGTCCTCTCGCCTTCCACCGCGGGCCTTCAGCCGCTTCAAGACAAAAAGCTCGGTTCCCCCGATCGCTCTTCCTCCCCAAGTCCCGGACCGTAACCCTGCTGCCTTTGTCTTATTTCTGGTTCTGTCTCCTCTTATTACTCAACTCAATCCTTCTTTCCACTTTCCATGTTTCTCTAGAGCTGAGGTGCACAGCACCCTCCTCCTGCGCCTTCCAATTGCCCGACCAGGTGTGCCTTCCCAAGGACGGTCATCCCTGTGAAGGAATGGGGAAGTTTACTCTTTAATTATCCTACTTTATCAAACTCTTCAGAAAAAGGGACACCTGTCCACTCGGACTCCACCCCCACGGTGCAGGCAAGAGAATCGAATAAGGATCAAAGGATCAGACTGGAAAAGCTGAAGGCTTTGAGGAAAGGGCCTGTGAGTATTGTTCCTCCTTCGGAAGGCAGTGGCCACACCTGTGTCCCCTTGTGTTATAATCAACGTTTATCCCAGGAAGGGGCTTAGTGAGATCGAATGGAAACAAAACAAACACAAAAACGCTAAATGAACTTCTGTAGGATTTAAAATTTTGTGCTCCCCGCTGTCTGTAAAACCCAACCCCTCTCTCCACCCCCCAGCCCCCCGCCCTGCTCTCTCTATCTCCAAAGGTTAAACAGAGCCATACCTCTGTGTAGGCTTTTGGAATCTACTCACTGCCTCTGTAAACCGCGCTAATCTTTGCCCGAGGTTAATGGGGAAAGCCAGCTAAGAGGAAAAAGGGAGGTTAGTTTGTAATTTCCAGTCCAGTCATGGTAACAGGTGCTTGTTTTATTAGAAAATGCCGTTTTCCTGGTCTGCCTTATAAAAATGACTGCAATAGTAGAAATTTATGCTCATATAGGAAGAATCAAGTAGACTGCTGAAAGAGACATTTGGAAAGAGGGAACTTTCTGATGTCTGCCAAACTATAGAACAACAACAAAAAAGTGTGGTTGGAGTGAGAGTGGGTCAGTTCTGGTTGATTTAGATGCCTGACCTTGGGCTGCTTTCTGCTAAGTCACAATCTCTGCTAAGTAAACTTTTTGAGTGTTTTAGACAAGGATTCCTCTAAGCATTCTATATACTTAAACTCGTTTATTCTTTACAACACAGTAAGGAAGTAATAGTCTCCTTGAGAACTTTGAAGAACAGGGAGGTTTAAGTGTGTGTCCAAGGTCAAGCACTGAAGAACAGTGGAGCCAGAATTCTCACGTTTAAATGCTTGTCCCTATTTTACATTACCTTCCTGTTTTGGTCCTGGCTGGGTCGCTCAGTTGGTTAGAGCATCATCTGATACACTGAGGTTGTGGGTTTCATCTCAGATCAGGGCACGGACAAGAATCAACCAACGAATGTATAAATAAGTGGAACAACAAATCGATGTTTCCCTCTCTCAAATCAGTTTAAAATTTTTTTAAATTAAAAAATTACCTTCCTATTTTAAGCCTGTGACTTCATGTTCTTTCCTATTTATTTATTTACTTAACTAGTAATTACCGACTGTGTGCTAAATGTCAACCACCTTCTAGGTGATGGGGACAACAAACCAAGCTGCTTGTCCTCTTGAAGTTTTCTTCTTTTTATGTGGTAGTACATCAAATTCTCTGTCCAAAAGTAGGAGATAATAAATTAATGTACATGACAGTCACCTGCAAATTAATGCCCTAACCTATTCTCAGATTCTGTTCTTACAGGTTCGGGGTAGGGCTTAGAACATGGAGTTTTAGCAAGACCCTCGCTAATTCTGAAGCTAGTAGTCTGAGGACAACATTATGAGAAACATCACCAATCTGCATAGATAATCTCTAGGCCTTTTTTGCTACTTTCAAGTGTCACTAACACTTTCTTTTCCTTCCTTACAGGAATATTGGGGAAATTCCAATGGAGAGGTCTGTTTTCTGAGGGAAGTCTAATTAATGTAAACCACAAGATTTATTGCTCCCAATATTTCAGTATTCAATATTTCACTATGGGAGAATGCAAAACACCTATTTTTTGAAAAATGAGACACCATCACCCATCTGAATTTCTAGACATCAAGAAATTGTGTGTAAATGCATAAATGAACATGAAGAGGAAATGCTAAATAAACTAAAGTTCCATGAGACAAAGTCTAAAAAAATATAAACCTGAGAAACAGGTATCAGGATGGTCTTGTCTGCCTAAAAGACTGATAAAATGTGATAAAGTGACCCCATATGCTTCCTCTCTGGATTGCCAATTATAATTTCAGGCCAGTGAAGGATACTAAAATAATTTATATCCCTGGTGTCTGAAAAGTCGTGGAAGACATTGTGTCCTGGTAGAGTGAAAATTTTAATTAGTTAAATTAGTTCTTTGGAAATGCAGAGTTGTGGTAAATGGAATGATAAAGAACTTTTCTATTTCATCATATTGGTGACAGTTTTCATTTCTACATCTGGTTTGAAAGTTACTGGGACACTCTTTTACAGGGGTCCTTGGTACATTGGCAGATTAAGAGCTTCTTGGTGCCTTCGACAATGGAATTCGAAGTGCAGGCAATAGACTTTCAGCAAAGACTCTTAGGCTCACTTACTCTTATTGTATCTGCTGGTAAATAAATTTATTTAGATAATGTTTTCATCTTTAGAAATGAATGAGCCTGTCATATGACAGGTTGTGATCATGCACACATCATTTTTAACAGGAAATAGGTCAGCGGTGCTTCTCAGGCATGGCTGTTCATGAAGCTCAGGCCTCTACTGATTCAAATAAATCAGTCTAGGGAGTGGGGGAGGTACAGGCAGGAGTATTTTTTTTTTGAAGCCATCCCATCTGAAAAGATTAATGGGCCACTAGGTAATGGAGCTTTTTTATTGTTTGCTAGATAGGCATTCACCACAAATAACTATGTTATTCTTGCTAAGTAAATGCAAGAATTTCTGTTTCTAGGAATTTATAATCACATTGGGGTGACAAAACTAATAGACATAAAACAGCCAAATTTTTTAAGTTGAATGAGCCTGAATTGTCTCATTACTTTTCAAACTTGATTGTACATTGGAATCACCTGGAAACTTTTGGTTTTTTTTTTTTTTAAATGTATTAGCTGGCCCACTCTAAGACCTTTTTTTTTCATTTATTGATTTTTAAAGGGAGGGGAGAGAAACATCAACTTGTTCCACTTATTTATGCATTCATTGGTTGACTCTTAATGTGCCCTGACCAAGGATCGAACCCTCAACCATAGCAGATAGGGAGGATGCTCTAACAAACTGAGCTACCCAACCAAGGCCAATCTAAGAGATTTTGATTCAGTTGGCTTGGGTGGGCAGCTTTGGGCACTGGCAAGTTTATAAATTTCTTCCCAGATGATCCTGACAGACCACCAACCAAGAGAACCACTGAAGTGGATTATCTTTAAGATGCCAATAGGAAAAAAAAATAAGAATAATATGTATATGTAATAGACACTACAATTAGTAAAAAATAAGTTAAAGAAATCTAGTATAGGGAAGAAACTGGGTGAAATGTAGCATAGTTAAGAAAAGCTTCAAGGAATGCGCGGAATTTTACCTGTGTTGATTTGGGTAGGTACTTTGGTTAGAAGCTGTATGGTGTTGGGTTTAAAGACAAAGAATATTAAGTTTTCCAGTTAACTGTGAGGGGGAACAGTGTTTGCTACCCCAAAATGTGCCTTTTGGGATATTAATTATTTTAAGCTGGTTATTTTTAAGAAACAAAAGACTCAGTAAGGAGCTTGCCTGACTAAAAGAATACCTGCTTAAAAGAAGGGAGCTATCCACGTTAGCACATTCACCTTAGTGCATTCATCCATCTTGTAGAAATCTAGCCAAGCCTGTTTGTTGGATCCCTCTGTGTGCCCATTGTTTCTGGGTGGCCCAGCAGGAATTTGTTCATCACATGTTAGCTCTTTCTCATCTACCCATGAACTGCCTCCTTTCCCTTTGAAATCTTAGGCCCCTGCCTCCCTCTCCTTACCTAGGAATGGCATATAGGCTTCAACTGCACAGTGTGTCCCGGGGGCTCATATTCTTATGTACTCCATATGCACACATACAATAAATTTGGACATTTTCTTCTGTTAACCTGTCTCAGGTTAATTTGATTATTATTCTAGCCAGAAGAACTTATAAAGGTGGGAGAAAATTTTATTTTTCTATCCCTAAACTGCAATGGATGACTCATGTAGTACTCTGAGAAGTAGCTGCTTAAAGGAGGTTTTAAAATTGTAATTCAGTGCCAGCTGTCTGCATTACACAAAGTTTTAAAGTATATTCATTGTCATTCTTTCCTGTCAGAGATTAGGATATAAGACCAGGCTCTCTCACTGTGTATGACTAAGCAACTTATGAAATAGGAAATGGCACCATTAGTAATTGAGTCAGCCTTTAGTGATAAAAAAGAACCTATGTCCTTTACCCTACATCCATCTTGAGCAGGAAGTTCAAAAGCAGCATGTAATATTTTCCAGAGATAATTTTATCTTGGACTCAACATGGGTGTATTAATATTTATTAAATACGTTAAATAAAACAATTACTTGGGTTAGTAAAATAAAGGTCATGGCCTTAATACCCAATCTTGATTAGGTTATAATTAAAATTTTTAAGGGGCAAGGCAATTTTTCTTTCCAATACATTATTATTTTAATCAATGTACATGTGACCAGGTTAGGGGTATGCAGGTGTGGAAACCCCCAACAATACTCACATACAGAAAGACTTCAGTCTCAAGTAGCTAGTACGTTATATCAAGAAAAGTTTGGGTGGAAAATACTGAGTCTCTTGCCTAGCAAGTTT